TAATACAGCCGTTCAATAAACAACCCACGTTGCTCCTTTCGAACTAGTATTCGGCCGAAGAGTGACCACGCCGCTGGATGTCATGTTACCACTACAGGACGAAAGCAGCTATCCACCTGACTTAGATGACTTCTTGCAAAGAGCCGAAGAAGCACGGCAAATGGCAAGATACCGAATACGTCACCAACAGCACGTCAATTCTAGTCGGTACAACAAGTGACGCAGTGACGCACTTTATCATCCCGGTGACACAGTGTGGATATGGATACCAGTGCGCCGCCGCGGACTCTCTGAAAAGCTTCTTTGACGATACTTCGGCCCTTATGAAGTACTCAACCGTATCAGTGACGTCACTTATGAAGTCAGAACCGCTGGACACGTGAGTTCAAGACGCCGCAATCCCACGGAAGTGGTACACGTAGTCCGCATGAAACCCTATCATGACAGATCGTCGAAAAACGAGTGAGAGTGCGCATGTATCTTTTCACTGTCTTAAGCATCGGGACGATGCGTCTGAGGAGGGGGATAATGCCGTGACAGGTTGGCCACGTTCAAGTAGCCCGCCGCAATCATCGTGGCAAGAGCACAAGCAAGACCCGGCTGGCATGCGCCACGCGTTCGTGCGCTCCGGCAACGAGGAAGAGGAAGATAGTTGGATCTGTGCCACTCGGCTACTCGGACTTGACGACCATAGTCTTTAGAATCGTGGGCACAAGTTCGCCCTAATAAATACGCTTGTTTTTTAACCTGTCTACCTCAGCATCGCTACAATATGAAGCACTCCTGACAATTTGTGCGGTTTTACGTACCGAAACCAGGATATGTTTACGAAGCATGCCCCGTTATAGCGGTCCGAAAATTCAGATCACCTGGCATTCTTCAACGCGCGCAAATATAGCACAGCACACAGATCCTCTCAAATTTCACCCTCATCTAAATATGCGACTGCCATGTTCGGAATCGAACCCACGACTTTTCGGTCAACGGCCAGGAATCGTAACCGCTATACCACCGTGAGGGATCACATGCAGCATTAACTGAGAACGTGTTACGTTCATGAGTTGAAAGTAGGACTGCCGTTTTCATGTTCTCATTCGCTCAAAAGTATCCTTTAAGGTGTACCAAATACTTAAGGTTATCAGCGCGAAAAAAAAAAACCGGCCACGTACAGGAAACACACGAGAAAAGCGCTACCCCGTGTGTATCGTGTGTGTTTCCTGTCCGCGGAAGTGCTTTTTTTGTGCTCTTAACTTTATTTACGGATAACCAGCTAGCGAAGACAGCTACTTTATTAAGTCTACCAAAAAACTGGGGGGAAGACGTTTTCGTGTGACAACAATTCATACTCTCAGCCAAATTTTCCTAAATCTAAAAAATAGAAAGCAATAAAAGTTGTTTCGAAGAGAAAAATGATTCCCTATTTCCTACATGAATAACGATTTAAAATTGTTTCAGTCTGACAACTCTGACAGATGTGCCTTTTTACCTAAATTTACACATGCTCATGTGAGGCACCAGCCCTCGCAAAAAGCCATATCATATCGGCACGTGCGATGCAGCCCTGTTTCTTTGCATTGTATTCGGACACTGTGTATACGTCAGATAATTTTACACGTCATCAAAAACATTGCTTAGAGCACTGCTGTAAACAGGACTGCTAAAGTCCGATTCTAAACGCGGAAACGCAATGTCTCGGCGAACGCTCTAAGTTTCGTACGACTAGATAAACTGATTCTTAACCACCAACAACGTCCACTTGTTTCCGCATTGAAGCGAACCAACGGGAAAATAAAATGTGCCTACCCTATAGTCGTCCTGGGAGGCACATACGCGACATACGCCGTGCATGGTTACCGACCGCACTAAGCCTCATACACAAAACCGTGAGCTCCGTCAGGGATAAAACTAGTTTGTAACCTTAAAAAAACAGTTATGAATAAAAATAACGCTGTGATGGGGAAGCACGTGACTGAGAGGAAAAGGAATAGAGAAGGTTGCGAAAGAACGAGAAACGAAACCATTGGCAAAGACTGCGCGAGAGCTACCCGCGTCGCGTTTCCAATGCGAGGCGGCGAACTGTCCCAGGGCACCCCGCATGCCACCACGGTATATATACAAGCTGCCACACGGTGGAGAAGACCACGTGCGTCAGGCGGGGTGGAACGTGGGACCACGGATTGCGAGCGTCGAAGCCAATTCCTGTGCTTCCATCCTCCGTTCTCTTTATGTATACGTATCAATGCGTTTACTTCTTTCTTTCGATTCCTTTTTTTCTTTTCGCGGGTCGACGCTACCCAATAGGGGACGAATCAATCTCAATTCCCCGTAGACGTCCCTGCCGTCGTTGTCGGCGGATTCCCAGTCCAGCTCTGGTTACGATCAGAGATTTCCGATTTGCGACGACTGCTGCGCCGCAGCTCGAGGGCAGTTCGCCGGCTCCGGACGCGGGCTCTGCGTTGGCGCCGCGCGCTTCAACCCCGAAACTCCTTCCGAACTTGTACTTTAACCAACTACCTTTCCTTTGTTTTTCCTTAGAGGTCTTCCTTGCATGAAAGTGATTGCCGTCATTGTATCCGTACTTACTTTTGCGTCATGTTTTCTTTCTTCTTTTCTTTCTTCTTTTCTCTCTTTTTTCTTTCTTTCCTTCCTTCTTTCTTTATTTCTTTCTTTCCTTCCTTCTTTCTTTCTTTCTTTCTTTCTTCTTTACCATGGCTCTGTACTCTTTCCTGGACGTATCCTGAAGACCATGCCACGTAATAAAGCTGGTTTATTTCATTTTCCTTCACGTTCCTTCCCCCTCTTCCGTTTTGTATACACAGAGGCATTCTTGTGAACTGCTGAAGACGAGTGCTCGTTCATGGCAGCCTTCCTCGTTTCCCCATTTTCCCCTGAACTTTTTTATTCGTAGGAAGGAACGGCAAAATGAAAATGGCAGCACTGAGACTACGTCGCCCTTGTTGTGTAATGGCAGTTGTAGTGGCTCTCTTTTTTAGTATTATGACTAGTAGTAGTAGTAGTAGTAGTTGTAGTAGTAGTAGTAGTAGTAGTAGTAGTAGTAGTAGTAGTAGTAGTAGTAGTAGTAGTAGTAGTAGTAGTAGTAGTGGAAGAAGAAGAAGAAGAAGAAAGGAGGAGGAGGAGTGAGTAATAAACAAGACTGCATTTTGAAGTGTAAACTAAATGTTGGTACCATTTGTCTTATCTCGGCCACTCGTTCTGTGCCATTGATACAGGAGCCATTACGTGAAACGTCGGGCACTTACATGAAGTGACCTCACGAGAACGTCCGAGCTAGACAAAGCACACGTGCAAGGAACAACTGGACAAAATTAATTCCACACCAGTTCTTCCTGCTGATACATACTTGAAATTGACTTTCGATATCTTTGGTAACGCCACAGTCAATGCTGAGGCTAAACACCAACTGGAAAAAGGCGTCCCAGCCAAAAGCCGACAGAACAAGAAAAAGGAAAAAACCGTTATCTTGGCGTCAGTTACAAAAAATTTCAAGCGTCCACCTCGTCAACATAGTCATAATCAACCCATGCCGCCCCCCCCCCCCCTTTTTTTTTTGCCTTGCGCGTGTTCGGAACGAAGGTGGTGGTACCGCCGCGGATCTGGATGCATTCTGTGCAGGGTGCATCGATTGCCGGCACAGAAGCTCGGCTGGGCCCTCCACCAACGTACGAGGGAGTGCTAGCAGCACCAATATGGCACGTGGTAAAAAAAAAGAAAGGAAAGGGGGGGGGGGGCGAAGATACAAAAAGGCCCTTGTTGCTCGCCATGCACGGAAGGCTTCGGTAATTATTTACGTTTATCGCGCCGGTAATCTTGTGCGCTGCTCTTCGAACCACGACGACCTCAGCCACTGCTTCCGGGCTGAAGTGGAGAGGGAAGGAGACGGCCAGTTCTCTTTCCCTCTAGCATGACTCTCGCTCTCTCCCCTTCCTTTCGCTGTCTCCTTTCCTCTCTAGTCGCTTCCTTTATTTCCTTCTCGTTCACTCGAGCACCTCCTCCGACAATCTATGTTCCGCTTCGCGTGTACAAACGATGGCCGATGGCCTGCTTAGAAGACCGCTCGAAGCAAAGCATGAACGCGCCCCGAACACGACCGTCATTATACGACTATGCGTGGCCAAACGGGAAGACAAAAGAGGAAAGGCAGGTGTACGTCGAGCGGCGAAGACGGAGCACTGGCGTCACTAGAGAATGGGCCCGATAGAGAACTAATGGTGCGGCATTAACAGCGCTGCGTTAATGTGGCACTTGGGTCATCAGCCTAATCGTGGCGCGCAAAGTTGCCGCAATAGTTCGCCTGACCTCGACTCGACTCCGGCTGAACATCGGCAGTCCCGGTTCGTTATGTGGCAGGGACGGTGAACTTGAAGGAGGTCATTCAGTTTTCATGGCGCCTGTATTCTTTCTTTTCTTTTTTACTGGTTAAACTGTACGTTATGAAACGTATCGTTTTCGATATATAGCCAGTTAATGCCTGCTTATTAGATGCCCACGTTTGCCGTGTCTCTGATAATAAACGTTAGCGTATAGCTTCCACTTTGTCCGAGTAAAGAATGAGATATTGAAATAATTGCACAATGGGGAGAGTTACGTTTCAGGCAATAGGCATGTGACTTACGATAAAAAAATGTTCTTTTCCGCAATTGTTGGTCATCATCATATTTTTTGTTATTAAAGCTGTAAGTTGAAGCATAAAATGCCAATTGCGGCTCTTGTCCACTTAAGTTTGATTAGGGTACAAATATGGCTTCCTAAAGCAACTCTGGTATGTTCCTTTCCTTGAATCGGTCAGCAGTCACAACCTCTTCATCAACAACTTACTTTTAAAGTGAAAGTAGAAAAAACCAAGTGGGTTGATGGACGAGTGCGCCGTAGTGACACCGGGATTCAAAGTGTGGAGACTTCGGAAAACAGTAAGAGCATGCGCGCTAGCAAAAGAATATAAATGACCGGGACTGAATAAAATGACGGGGGTTTGCACTCACCTCTCCGACGACACCCGCCGCCACGATGGTGTAGTTCTGGTGCAGTGAGTCCGCCAGGCTTTCTGAAACGTAACAAAATAATAATACTTATAAATCAATAAAGTATATGTCGTATAAAAACGCTGTTGATATTATCAGTTACATACAATAACAAAGTTAAATATAGTATTGTGACCTAATATGATACTTGAAGTATCAGTAAACACCTCAGCTTTCTCTAACGCAAATCCATTGCATTTCGAAAGCCGACACACGTGGTTATAGTTGGACCACCCATATTTATATCCTGTCTATGCATGGTTTCTATTCTAGCAACCCTCCCTTGCGTGGGATGATCGCAGTGTCCATTCTGAACACACATGAAATCTATTGCGCGGGCCTCTCTGTATAACGGCGTCACATGGTCACTTTACATTCCCATCAGACCTGATGCAGATTGAATTTTTTTTTGTCGTGATGGGTTCCCTTACGCAAGCTGTAGGAGGAAGCAAATGACTGTAGAGAAACTTGATCTCGACCTGGCTCAATCGCATCCAACAGGAAACCATGCGACACTGATACAAGTGACCAATACTTTTGAGCCAGGACTACTGTTACCGAAGAGAACAAGATATGACAATCATGGAATACGGCGTCGTTCCGGCATACCACTTGCCTTTCGGAGAGACCACGTACATTTAGGAGGAGGCTAAGATGACGTTCAGTATTACGGTATACGCTGATCAAGCGATCATTGCGCGTGTCTGTTCAACATCGCCGCACCCGTACATGCCCAACAGAAGCTTACTCATTGTCTTCCAAGTGCGGATGTTCATAAACAAAAAAGAAAAAAGCAATTAATTCATCCACGCGAATGGGCAGGCGTGTTTTACCAGTTGCAGTTAGCAGAAACAGCTGCCGCTCACTATAGAAAAGTCTCACCCGCACGTGCTTATAACGCCTGTAAACAACAACAAAAAAGCAAATCAAGATTAGAAAGAAAAAAAAAGAAACAAGGCAACACAGTAGAATTATCTCACCTCTGTTGTGCGCAAGCTAAAGCCATTACTCTGGCATAACCACGAAGCAATAAACGGGGGAAATCGGAGTCCCGACCGAGTTTCTCTAGCATTCATATTGATTGAATAGCTTTGGATATACTCAGAGGTGCAAGTGGCTGCGTTGAGAATTCTTAGTCAGTATTTATTAAAAAAACATATTTAAGCGATTTTGTGAAAATGCAGATTTAAAAAAAACAAGCCTAACCGTAATAATACTGCCACCGCGTTTTCTGTAAAATTAATGCAATGATTCCTGTCTCATGTGTTATCGTCCCCATCTCACTCACTGCCATGGCTCTGATATTTTGCTAGAATTCAAGCCTGCCTCACAGGCCACCGCATTTTGCCGTCTAAAACTATCGCGACTTCAAATTTTCTATTGTAATCGTCGTCCACCGTACCCTCTTGTCATCTATTGGTACTACATTTGTCACACACAATAATCAAAGAGAAGAGGCCGTCTAAAGAAAAAAAAGGAGCCCCGATCTTAGCAGCATAGACATCAGCCGCAAAAGATAACTCCTATACTTTAAAAAAATTAATAAATGTGATGGGGTAGGGAAATGTCTACTTTTGCATGCCTATGACGGTTTCCTGTGGTTCCAATAACTAACGGTTTGCATGCACCAATGGTACATGAGGATGTCGTGGAGTATGTATAGATGCAATGAAAACTTGAGTTGCGGGAAGCACTCGTGTTGTGCCCTTTATTCTCACAATCGAGTTAGTGCTTCCGTTTTTTTATTATTATTATTTTGAACCATTACCAGCTAGCTCACCTTTCAATTTTGCTTCAAAGGCCATTCTTGCGATGAGATAGGCGTGTTTTCAAGGAGTGGGTATAGATGCTCTCAACAAAAATCAATTGTTACCATGAAAACATTCATCTTTACTGCACAAGGAGCACGTTTCGATAGTTGCGCGGTAACCTTCCCATATGCGTTAGGCACGGCGTTATTTCAGTGCGAGCCTTACTATCAAGTATTGTTTATGTTTCATTAGCAAGCGTGTCGACGTGCAACGGGGAGCAGATAACGACGTCGAAATCTATAGCCACTTTCTCCCTCATTATTCTGCACATCGTTTTCCCTCACTTTCATGTATTCGCGCCCTTGCACCTGCTTTGGAACAAACGAGAGAGAATCGAGTGAAGCGTTCACACAGCACTGGAGAAACAAGGCCGGCATCGGCATTTTTGAGGGGCACGGTGCGGTTATGCAAACGCCGTAGAGCCCGACACCTCTAACGGCGCGAACGAGACGGGAAGAATTGAAAAGTGCGATGGATGATAGCTAGCGGTGACGGCGAGGTGACAAGCGCACGACTATTTGAGAGCAGCGAGTTGGGGTAGACAGAGAGAGAGATAGAGAGATAATGCGGCATAGACTGACGCCTAGACACCCGGAAGAAGTGAGAGAGAGAAGGGCTGATTGTGTAGAGGAATGAAGAGCTAGGAGGAGCGGGTCGCGGTCAAAAAAAGAGTTTCCGCTTAGTTGTGCCAAGGATCCTGGAGAATTCTGCGAAGCGCCGGGAGCACAGTTCGTGGTACTTCTGCCACAAGCAGATGGCGCTCGTTCATGACGAAGAGAAACGCAGCGCGCGCCGAGAAGGTGGGTGCGCAAAATTAGGCGAAAAACGATGGGTCGCCGCATCTGGGTTCGCGCGGGTAGCGTCATCCCTTCTTTACCTCGCTTCCTCACTGCGCACCTTGCACGTCCTCGTTCAGTAGGTCGCCAGTATCATCGGAACTTCACCCTTTTCTTTTACTTCTTCGTTTTTTTTTAACCTCTGTCTCTGTGCACGCTCACCAGCCCGAACTTCTTGAGGGCATTCCCCATATACGCTTTGTCGTGCGCTGGGATCTCAACCACAATAACTGTACTTTTTTTTATATAAAGCTTCCAGATGCACACGCGAGCATGTTCACTATTGGCCCGTGTAAATAGAACGCAAGCAGTGTCCACGAACATTGCCATTCGCCCTTCCACCTCCCAGTTATCTCTGAGTTGCCCTCACTTCCACACCCGCACCATTTTTTTCTTTTATTTCCACCGGCGAACTCATAGGCTAAAAGCGCTGTGATGGCCACCTGCTGGACACGCACGTCGATAGAGAGCAACAAATGTTTTAGAACTAAGTTGCTGGCGTATCAGGGAAGCAGCAACGACCTCTACTATAAAACTGAAGATAAAACTAAACTTTTGCATTTTTCCTATGGGGAATCGAAGCTCAAGTTTGCGTAGCGACGACAACGCCGCTCCTGGCTCTGGCGGCAAGCTCCGGGCAAATTCAGGATATGCGTCGCCATGTGTTTCGCGTGCGACACGCGCAAAACGCGTTCTGTAGTCAGTGCGGGTAACTTCGGCGCCGTGCCGTCAGCTTGGCGTGCTAAAACGAGGCGCTCTCTGTGCGCAGTTGCCTTTCCGCGATGGAAGAAGCGGCCCCACAGAAGCGACGGCGAGATCCGAAGTATTGCTGTGTCGTGGGCTGCCACAACAATGCGGACAACACCAAGAGACGCTCTCCACGGGTAAGGGCCCGTGGAGAGCCTCTCATAAGCGCGAAAATGCACGCGACAGCCACGAGCGACGCTATGAGCGACGAAATATGCAGGGCGTTCGCGCGACGTGTCGCGTGCTCGTTTTCGCGCGATCGCTCGGTTCTTCAGATTTGGAAACTGTCGCTCATCGCCCGGAAGTGCAGGGCTCAAGCAGCCAATAGCGAAATACCGGAAAAGACAAAGACTACATAGGTGCACTTGACCCTGCCCGAGTCACGTATGCGCAACAAGAAATAACGCAATGTTTATTATGCGTGTGCATATAAAAAAGTGCTGCAAGGCAATAATAAACACTTTCCCTTTCATTACACAACAATATATCTTATTTTTAAATTGCATACCGCTCGCTACGCGGTTTTCTTGGTGCGAGTAGACGGCCTCATGCCAGCAACAGTGGAATTCGCTCACCGAAGCCGTCGCGTGCATGAGGTTTGCCTGCGCTAGCGACTGCTCGCGCGAAGCCGATCTACGTCGCGTCGCTTGTCGTTGTCGCGTGCATTTTCGCGCTTATGAGGTTTGGCCTTAAAGCGGGCAACCGAGAACTGAGCCGCGTTTGCGAAAGATAGAGCCAGCATGACACTAGAGCCGGAGAAAAAAGCAGCCGAGCACATCAACTTGACTCACAGTGGCTAAAGCTGAATTGACAGCTTCGCCGTGAAGTCAGCGGGTCTTGATCCGGTGGCATGGAGGACATGACTCTAAACCTTCTCGTACATTTTAATGTCGTGACAGTATAAGTTTAGCGTTTGTTTATTCTTTAGCACGCCGCAAACGTTTGCACATGACAGTTCACGGCTGCTACTGCTAGATATCACATCAAAACAGCAATTATATGACTTTCATAAACGTCCACGCAGCACATCGATAAAGTACGCGGCTTCGTGTCGACAGAATGAGACTTACCTCGAGGCGTACTTCGAACACGGTACTATCGCGGACACGAGAAATGCATTTTGCAGTGACTTGGACGACCCCGTCTATCGTCCGCTGCACATCATAAACGTGACTGCCGAGCTTTACTACTTTTGCTAGACTCGCTTTTCGAAAGCACTTGTCCAGATCAGAGATCTCTTTGAAGCCGCGCTGCAGGCGGCACATTGTGGGATGACTCAAAGGCACCGCGCGTGCTCGGAGCGAGCAGGTAAGCGAGCGAAAGCGCGTTGGCGGGAAGGGAAAACGCGCAATATACATTCCCAATTTCTCCTTTTTTACCAAAGATGTCGCTGCCTGTCCAGAGTCACAGCGCCCCCATGCGTTGATTTGGATACCCGCCTATTCACAGTATAAAAGGGCACGATACGACAAGGACGAGAGGGAGCAACGAGGACCAGCACTGATAAAAAAATCTTTCTGCAGCACATATAGGTATTCCGAAAAGAGGGAGGAGATTTTGCTACCATATGCGCACATGTCCTGATGCCATGGAAAGCTCATATGCGAAGATAATTAATCTGTTTGTCTG